CCGACATGTGGCCAACAGTAATGTTTTAATGTTCTTCGTTATTAAACATTTGCACATAAATAAGTGACATAATATTCAGTACTTACTTTTCACAGTTTCGCATTTCGAGCAGCCTTTGAATTGGGACAGCCTTCGGCGCGCCGCTGTGACGTAATCGGCCTTGAAATGCGTACTTTAAGGCTGCAGACCCTGAATTGGGATACAGCCCATGGCTACTTCACCTGTCCCTCCTGCACTTTCTTGCTCATTGTGTCAGATGTTTAGTTACTCCTCGGCCTCCTTTAGCAGTAATGATATCTGTAACAAATGTAGCATATTTGCAGCTCTGGAGGCCAGGATTACTGAATTGGAGACTCGGCTTCGCACCCTTCATTCACCCGTAGCTAGCCAGGCCCCTATAGCTGGTGCAGCTGAAGATAGCGTAGGCCCCGCTAGCTGTTCCCCGGCAGACCCCAAGCAGCTGGGGAAAGAGGGCGGCTGGGTGACGGTGAGGAGGAAGCATAGTCCTAAACAGAAGCCCCAGGTACACCACCAACCCGTTCATGTGTCTAACCGTTTTTCCCCACTCGCCGACACACCTGCCGGGGGTCAAACTCTGGTAATTGGGGATTCTGTTCTCAGACATGTGAAGCTAGAGACACCGGCAACCATAGTCAATTGTCTTCCAGGGGCCAGAGCAGGCGACATTGAGGGAAATTTAAAACTGCTGGCTAAGGGTAAACGTAGATTCAGTAAAATCATAATTCACGTCGGCAGTAATGACACCTGGTTACGCCAATCAGAGGTCACTAAAATCAATATTGAATCGGTGTGCAACTTTGCCAAAACAATGTGGGACTCTGTAGTTTTCTCTGGTCCCCTCCCCAATCAGACCAGGAGTGACATGTTTAGCTGCATGTTCTCCTTAAATTGCTGGCTGTCTGAGTGGTGTCCCAGAAACGATGTGGGCTTCATAGATAATTGGCAAACCTTCTGGAGGAAACCTGGTCTTGTTAGGAGAGACGGCATCCATCCCACTTTGGATGGAGCAGCTCTCATTTCTAGAAATATGGACAAATTTATTAAACCCCCCAAAAAATGACTATCCAGAGTTGGGACCAGGAAGCAGAGTTGCAGTCTTACACGCCTCTCTGCAGCTTCTCTCCTCCTGCTACCCCCCCAAAAACCCATCTCCATAAAGACTGTGTCAGCTCCCAAACAGACAAAAAACAAACTAAAAACCAGCAACAAACAACTTAAACATAAACAATTACAAAGAAAGAACAATACAGTATCCACATCTGAAACAAAGAGTAAAACAGTGAAATGTGGATTATTAAATATTAGATCTCTCTCCTCCAAGTCTCTGTTAGTACATGACTTAATAATTGATCAACAAATTGATCTACTCTGCCTTACAGAAACCTGGTTGCAGCAGGATGATTATGTTAGTTTAAATGAATCAACACCCCCCAGTCATTCTAACTACCAGAAATCTCGAAGCACAGGCCGAGGGGGAGGTGTGGCAGCAATTTTTCACACCAGCCTATTAATTAATGAAAGACCAAGACAGACTTTTAATTCATTTGAAAGCCTGATGCTTAACATTGTCCACCCCAGCTGTGAAACTCAGAAACCAGTCATCTATCGTCCACCTGGGCCTTACACAGAGTTTCTGTCTGATTTCTCAGACTTTATATCTAATTTAGTTCTGAGCTCAGATAAAATAATTATTTTGGGTGATTTTAACATCCATGTAGATGCTAAAAATGACAGCCTCAACATGGCATTTAATCTGTTATTAGACTCAATTGGTTTCTCTCAAAATGTAAAAGAACCCACCCACCACTTTAATCACACTCTAGATCTTGTTTTAACATATGGCATAGAAACTGAACATTTAACAGTGTTTCCTGAAAACCCTCTCCTGTCTGATCATTTCCTGATAACATTTACATTTACAATAATTGATTACACAGCGGTGGAGAGTAGACTTTATCAAAGTAGATGTCTTTCTGAAAGCGCTGTAACTAAGTTTAAGAATATAATCCACCCACTGTTATCATCTTCAATGCCCTGTACCAACACAGAGCAGAGCAGCTATCTGAACGCTACCCCAACAGAGGTCGATTATCTTGTTAATAATTTCACCTCCTCACTACGTACGACTCTGGATACTGTAGCTCCTGTGAAAACTAAGGTCTCTAATCTAAAGTCCTCTGCTTTCCTAACGATATGGTCAACAATCTGAAGGAGAGAATTCTTCAAATTGCAGAGGAATATCCAACTGTGACAAACATTGTTCTGCATACAGGGTCAAACGATGTGTCCAAACAACAGTCGGAGGTTCTGAAACAGGACTTTACTGGATTATTAAATACTGCAAACTCTCTGAATGCAGCTGTATTCATCAGTGGACCTGTACCGCCGATCAGAGGAGGAGACGAGAGATTCAGCAGGTTGTTTACACTGAATAAATGGCTTATATCAGCATGTGCTGACCACTCAGTGCATTTTATCAACAACTTTAATATTTTTTGGGAACGCAGGTATCTGTTTAAAGCAAATGGATTTAATTTTAACAAGTCAGGGGTGAAACTGTTCACCTCCAACTTGTTTTATTCCATACGTCATCCATCTGTGCTTGGTGCCAAGGCTGAGATAAACGAGGAGTTATCTCATAAAGAGGAACAAACAGTACTCCAAGAACAGACAAAGCCCAGCAGAAACCTTGAGGAGGAGCTCCATTTGCCCCCACCCGGGAAGAGCCTCAGAAAGGAGAGACATCTGAGGCAAGAAGAGGGGTCCCTATTTGCCTCCAACTCTCTCAACAACACCAACGACCAGGACCAGGAACCACGATCTTCCCCAGTCCCCCAAACCCCTGACAGGCCATCACCCCCATCACCCTCCTCCCCCTCCCTTTCTCCCTCCTCCCCACACCTGAAATTCACTGAGGAGATGATGGAGCGGGTCAATGCTGGGCTCAGATCTACCCCCCGGCCCAATCCCTTTTTGTCCCCCATAACCCCCCACCAGAGCGGCAAAAGGTTCGCCATCGAGCCCCACCCTCAACAGAGCAATCGAAGTCACATTGCCCAGCCTCGCCCCCCTTAGTTCCTCTTCATGCCCTGTCTCCGCAGTCTGATGTGTGATGTGTGGAGGGTCCGGGCTGCGAGGATTATGGCAGTGGTGACTTTTCCCAGGAGAAGCTGGGACCCTGTTTACTAGAAGGTTTTAAAATCTCTGTACTTTTAGGTGACAGGAGACATGTGGCCTGGTCAAAACACAGAGAAATGCACTCTAAAAGATCTTTAAATATATTAAACATACCTTGTGTGCCACAGACTGCTCCCAAACACGAGGGGACAAGTAATACCTCTAAAACACTTAAGGTGGCTTTATTAAATGTTATATCTTTAGCTGGGAAAACATTTTTAATTAATGGTAAATGGCCTGTATTTATATAGCGCTTTACTAGTCCCTAAGGACCCCAAAGCGCTTTACATATCCAGTCATCCACCCATTCACACACACATTCACACACTGGTGATGGCAAGCTACATTGTAGCCACAGCCACCCTGGGGCGCACTGACAGAGGCGAGGCTGCCGGACACTGGCGCCACCGGGCCCTCTGACCACCACTAGTAGGCAACGGGTGAAGTGTCTTGCCCAAGGACACAATGACCGAGACTGTCCAAGCCGGGGCTCGAACCGGCAACCTTCCGATTACAAGGCGAACTCCCAACTCTTGAGCCACGATCACCCACAATTAATGATGTGTCAGTCTGTGTTCCTCCGTGTCAGTCTGTGTAACTCCGTGTCAGTCTGTTACCCTGCGTTCCACGGTGTCCTGTTCCTCGTCTGCGTCTCTCTGCTATTCATCATCCGTTGTCATATGCTCCCAGGTCTGTTATTTTTAGTTCTCCCAGTTTAGGTGTCTTTAGTTATTTGTTATGCCCCACTGTTTGTTTGCCACTACACCTCTGTAAATAAAGCCACCAGTATCTCATCCACTGCCTGCATCTTGGGTCCTCCTTCTAAATCCACACGGCTCGCCTCGGCAGCCGTGACAAGGAGTCCTGATAGGGACTAGAAAGAGAGAGCAGATTTCTCCTGTTTTGGCTTCCCTTCATTGGCTTCCTGTTAAATCCAGAATTGAATTCAAAATCCTGCTCCTCACATACAAGGTCTTAACTCATTCACTGCCAGCCATTGGCAGTGAATGAGTTAAACCCATTGACTCATGCACTGCAATTGACGGCTATAGACGTCAATGGCAGTGAATGAGTTAAATAATCAAGCCCCATCTTATCTTAATGACATTGTAGTACCATATCACCCTATTAGAGCACTTCGCTCTCGCTCTGCAGGCCTACTTGTTGTTCCTAGAGTATTTAAAAGTAGAATGGGAGGCAGAGCCTTCAGTTTTCAGGCCCCTCTTCTGTGGAACCAGCTTCCAGTTTGGATTCAGGAGACAGACACTATCTCTACTTTCAAGATTAGGCTTCAAACTTTCCTTTTTGCTAAAGCATATAGTTAGGGCTGGACCAGGTGACCCTGAATCCTCCCTTAGTTATGCTGCAATAGACGTAGGCTGCCGGGGGATTCCCATGATGCATTGAGTTTTTCCTTTCCAGTCACCTTTCTCACTCACTATGTATTAACAGACCTCTCTGCATTGAATCATATCTGTTATTAACCTCTGTCTCTCTTCCACAGCATGTCTTTTATCCTGTCTTCCTTCTCTCACCCCAACCGGTCGCAGCAGATGGCCGCCCCTCCCTGAGCCTGGTTCTGCCGGAGGTTTCTTCCTGTTAAAAGGGAGTTTTTCCTTCCCACTGTTGCCAAAGTGCTTGCTCATAGGGGGTCATATGATTGTTGGGTTTTTCTCTGTATCTATGAAGCGCCTTGAGGCGACTTATGTTGTGATTTGGCGCTATATAAATAAAATTGAATTGAATTGAATTGAATTGAATGTGGTTAGATGTTCCAAAGCAATAATTTAAGCCACTGAAACTGTATCTATAATAAAATGTTTATTTTTCAAACGATTGATCGTGGTGATTGATTCTGACATCAGATGAATATTTAAATGATCCTCGGACTCGGCCCCATCAATCAGTTTAAACCATATCACTGACATCACTGTCTTTTAGCTGCTTTGCTTTGGTCCGCTCTGAGCACGTGCAGACTCCTTAGGCTGAACCAGGACTGGAGCAGCAGCAGGACTGGGACCAGGACCCAGACTCCATTAAATAAGACCAGGTAGACCCATAGGTAGAGCAAGGAGGATGTGTTCAGGTGAGGGCTGCCCATCAGCCAATCGGGACAGAAGGTCATCCAGCCGCCGTATAGCTCGCACACACTCAGAGCGATCTGCAGGAAGTGTCTGACAGATTGGTTCACCATTAACATCAGTACCAAGCAGTACCAGCAACATAGTAACTGCAGTACAGGAAGTGTTACCTGTAGTACTTGTCCTTCAGTACTGCGTGTATAAGCAGGAGAGCTAGCAGCGAGTCGAGGACGACGGTCAGGATCTCGATGGAGACGATCGTCGGATCAGAAACCAGCCAGCGACTGTCGGCTTTCCCGTACTCCTTCCCTACAGGTAAGACAGGTGAGAAGAAGTCAAACATCCCAAATGACGTACCAAATAGTGTGTTTTTACAGTATCTGTGAGTAAAAGTACTTCATTACTTTGTTCTCATACTGGACTTCAGATCAAACTAACACTGCCTGGAAATACTGCAGTGTATTTACAAAATACTCACAGAGCTCAGCCAGTGGCCCTTCAGAAGCCTCCACTGTCCCAACCAGAGACATGTAAACAAACGGACCCTCCTAAAAAAACAAAAATCAGAGACATGGAAACAAATGGATCTTCCTAAAAACCTTTAGGTTTAGAATAAAAAATAAACAAGAATAAACAAAAACTAAGTGTTTATGAAATGAGTCTAATTTTGAAGATGAGCTGAAACTTGAATAACGTTTTTTGTCATCATGATGAAGATGGGAATAACTAAGAATAAAGCACCGCCTACCAGCGTCAGATGGACAATGACATCATAAAAGAGCCACAGCAAGATCCACCAGTTCTGTGTAGAGCTCCGCCCACAATACCTGCGTGTTAGCAGGACAGCTGCCAACAGCTGGCCACTGCATGCTAACAGAGACAAGACGGAGACCAGAGAGAGGCCAGGAGGCGCCGATGAGTCCATCTGCAACCACAGAAGAAAAAGGAAGAGAAGGAACAGCATATAGAAGAGGTACCAGTACTACAGACTGTACTTCAAATATGCCACAGTAAAATTATTTTAGGATTAGTGTAGTAATATTGCAGAAATGCTGTATGCAGTCGTTCTGTGTAGGCTCACCACTGCTCTGTGTGAAAATGGACGTCTCAGGCTCTGCCCCCTGGCATTCCCTATTGAACTGCTGTTTCTAAATCCCGCCCCACACTCTCCCATTCACTGGTGAGGAGAACACTCCACTCCCTGTTCCCGCCTCCTCCCTCACAAACGGCTGAGGTCAAAGGTCAGCAGCAGATGAACATCATGTTTATCTGAAGCTAAACGTTAACATTCATTCTGACCACAGAAGAAGAAAATGAGGAGCTCAGTGTTTAAAACAAGCAAACAAACAAACAGGGGAATAAAACCCAAATCTCATTAAAAAAATACAAACAGTACTTCAGCAGTTCTTTGGTACATCCAATTCAATTTTATTGATATAGCGCCAAATCACAACAACAGTCGCCTCAAGGCGCTTTATATTGTACAGTAGATAAAAGCCCAACAATCATATGAACCCCTATGCGCAGCGGTGGGTTTTTTTCTGTTCTCAAACTGATCTCCCTGTTGGAGCGCAGTCTGGGGGGAGTTCTTTTTTTCCTCATTGTCTTTCCTGATGTTTTGTATTTTCAATTGTTCGGTTCTGGGTCGCTGTTCGTGCGGCTGACCTGCCAGCTACGTAGCCTGACCTGTCTCCCCAATATGATGTTTGTATATTGTATGTACGGTCGGCAAGGTCAGTATCTCAATTGCCCCTCGGGGATAAATAAAGTCTTCTGAATCTGAATCTGAATGAGCAAGCACTTTGGCAACAGTGGGAAGGAAAAACTCCCTTTTAGCAGGAAGAAACCTCTGGCAGAACCAGGCTCAGGGAGGGGCGGGGCCATCTGCTGTGATTGGTTGGGTTGAGAGAAGGAAAACAGAATAAAGACATGCTGTGGAAGAGAGACAGAGATTAATAACAAATATGATTCAATGCAGAGAGATCTATTAACAGACCTTCCCAAAGTGTGGGGCCCGCCCCCTAGGGGGGGCACAGAGCCATTGCAGGGGGAGCGCGGTATGAAAAGGGAAAAAAACACAAAGAACGCTTGGACACTGCTAGCACGGTGCGCCCACACAAACGCAAAGCAGGAGATGAAGCACCGCTGACTATGTTTCCAAACCAACTTCATTCTAAGCCAAAGACTAGAAAATATGGTGAAGCAAATCTTCCCTTTGTTTCACCTGCACAAGTGCCGAGGTAGGTCTCTGTGACAGAATTAGTTTCCCCTGCGTTGGGAGCAGCGCTGGGCTCTCCAAATCACGGACAAACAGTATCCCACATTCTTGATTTTTAGTTCACAAACACTTGTTGTAATGACTAACTACTCCTGACATTTTGGAGATGTTTGCTCTTTATACAGTAAAGTTACAGTGGGATACAAATAACATCAGGCTGATCCTGCCACAATTTGCCTGGTTCAAATCACTGACAAACAGTATCCCATCGTTGATTATGTTTTTAAACCCATTTTGCACAGAGAGGCATTTTTTGAAAAATGTAAAGTAATAATGTAAACAGAATTGGTCCTAGAACTGAACCCTGTGGAACTCCATAATTGGCCTTAGTGTGTGAAGAGGACTCTTCATTTACATGCACAAACTGGAGTCTATTAGATAGATGTGATACAAACCACTGCAGCACAGTACCTGTAATACCTACAGCATGTTCTAATCGCTCTAATAGGATATTAAAAAAAATCCAAGATGGCGGCAGTCAATTGTTGTCTGCCGCCATGAAGAGGAGGTAGACTTCCACCGTAACCTCGGTGCGGATCTGTGATATTTTGCTCGGCTAAAAGTTATCAAGGCTGACGAAAGCTTGGTTTTGCATTTGCTGGATATTGATCTGAAAACTCTTTTCTTGCTGTGTCACGACTGACTTTTTAGCTAACGTAAGCTAAAGTGGCAGTGTCTGTTTTTGTTTTTGACGCTGTCGCCGGTACGAGATTCCGGAATGGCACCACTTACCTCAACATCCAGCTGTGAAAGCTGCATCAACCTGAGCCAAAAAGTGATCGAGCTGGAACAAAGGATATCCACGCTATACCAAATCCAGGGGGCTGAATGCGAACTTGACACGATCCTCCTTGGCAAAGCTCAAACCACCGCTACTAGCGCTGAGCTAGCCGACACAGTGCACCATCCAGCTGCTGTGTCCCAAGATCCCGCCAACAGTCAACACAGGCTCTCAACTTGCGTCGCTGGTGCTTCTGCCAAGGACGAGAACTCCTGGTTTCAGCTAGGGGCCAGACCCAAGGCTCTGGTCAGCTCCACTCCACTCCAACCAGCACCATGGACCATGGTTGAGACGCGTGGTGGCTGCAGAGGGGGCAGGAGGATCTGTCTCTCGCACCCTCACCCCTCCGGTGCGGTAGTATTGGAGAATAAATTCAATGTCCTGGATCCTGTGGACTTTCCTCCTCTGACCGCTAGCCCTCGCCATCCCGCTGTGTCGCTGAGGTCTGCGCCATCTCCACCACTACACCCCCGGAGCCGCGGCGGGCAACCCGACGCTGTGGTGCAAACTCACCGCGGAGAGCTGTGCTTTACCCCGGCTCCTCGGAGAAGAGGACCCACGGCGCGGCTACCTGGGAGTCACTCACGCAGTCCGGCTGGCGCATCTCCATCTGAACACCCCCGGTGTCACGGCGCGGGCGTCTCAGATGGCCAACAGCCCTCGGTGGCACCTCCTCTCTCCACGCTGGTCCTCGGGGATTCCATCGTCAGGAACGTGCGGATGAGGGGGCGCTCACGCTGTCGTTCCCGGGAGCCACTGTTGTTGACATAGTGGACAGAATTCCCAACATTCTGGCATCCCACCCACAGGTTAACCGGCTCATCATCCACATCGGCACCAATGACATCCCCAAACAGCAATCTGAGCTGCTGAAGTTGGACTTCCTCGAACTCTTCAGCCTCCTTGGTCAGTTGCAGGTGAGTGCTTTTATCTCTGGGCCCACCCCCACCTGTGGCAGAGGGATAGGCCGTTTCAGCCGGCTGCTCAGCCTTAACACCTGGCTTTCCTCTGCCTGTATCTCCCACGGCGTGGGTTTTATTAACAACTTTGATGCCTTCTGGGAGAGGAGGCATCTTTTTGGGGCAGACGGGCTCCACCTCAACGCCTGGGGACGCCGTTTGCTGTCCGCCAATTTGGCATTTGGCGGCAAATTGGCATTTGTTCTCACTGAGGCCTCCCCACCAAATTTTAATTTCTCTTTTTCTATTAGAAGTGGTGAGAGAGGTGGTGGGACTGCATCTTTAGCCAACAACACACTCACCACCAAACAAATTTTATTTAATCATTTTACCACTTTTGAATTCTATGCTATTGTTTTCAGCAGCCCTCCAGTTTTATCTGTCACAATTTATAGACCACCTAAAGACAGCGCTGCTTTTATCAAGGAATTCTCAGAATTTTTAACAAACATACATTCAAAATACACTCAACAAAAATATAAACGCAACACCTTTGTTACTGCTCCCATTCCCCATGGGATGGACGTAGAGACCTAAAATTCATTCCAGATACACAATATAACCATCCCTCCCAAACAGTGGTCACAAATCAGTCCAAATGTGTGGTAGTGGGCACATCTGCTATATTGAGATAATCCATCCCACCTCACAGGTGTGCCACATCAGGATGCTGATCTGACATCATGAGTAGTGCACAGGTGTATCTCAGACTGCCCACAACAAAAGGCCACCCTGGAATGTGCAGTTTTGTCTCACAGCAAAATGCCACAGATGCCACAAGCAATGAGGGAGCGTGCAATTGGCATGCTGACAGCAGGAATGTCAACCAGATCTGTCGCCCGTGCATTGAATGTTCATTTCTCAACCATAAGCCGTCTCCACAGGCGTTTCAGAGAATATGGCAGCACATCCAACCGGCCTCACAACCGCAGACCTCGTGTAACCACACCAGCCCAGGACCTCCACATCCAGCAGGTTCACCTCCAAGATCGTCTGAGACCAGCCACCCAGACAGCTGCTGGAACAATTGGTTTGCACAACCAAACAATTTCTGCACAAACTGTCAGAAACCGTCTCAGGGACGCTCAACTGCATGCCCGTCGTCCTCATCGGGGTCTTGACCTGACTCCAGCTCGTCGCCGTAACAGACTTGTGTGGGCAAATGCTCACATTCGATGGCGTCTGGCACGTTGGAGAGGTGTGCGCTTCACGGATGAATCATGGTTCACATTGTTCAGGGCAGATGGCAGCTGAGAATGTCCCAGTTCTTGCATGGCCAGCATACTCACCGGACATGTCACCCATTGAGCATGTTCGGGATGTGCTTGACCGGCATATACGACAGCGTGTACCAGTTCCCACGAATATCCAACAACCTCGCACAGCCATTGAAGTGGAGTGGACCAACATTCCACAGGCCACAATTGACAATCTGATAGACTCCATGCAACGATGTGTTGCACTGCATGAGGCAAATGGTGGTCACACCAGATACTGACCGGTTCTGGGTCCCCAGACCCCCAATAGCGCAAAAAACTGCACATTCCAGGGTGGCCTTTTGTTGTGGGCAGTCTGAGGTACACCTGTGCACTACTCATGATGTCAGATCAGCATCCTGATGTGGCACACCTGTGAGGTGGGATGGATTATCTCAATATGGCAGATGTGCCCACTACCACACATTTGGACTGATTTGTGACCACTGTTTGGGAGGGATGGTTATATTGTGTATCTGGAATGAATTTTAGGTCTCTACGTCCATCCCATGGGGAATGGGAGCAGTAACAAAGGTGTTGCGTTTATATTTTTGTTGAGTGTATAATATGATAATTTTAACCGGTGATTTTAACCTGCACATAGATAATCCTTCTGACCCTGCAACAAAAGAATTCTTAAACATTCTTCACTGTTTGGATTTTATCCAGCACGTCACGCAGCCGACTCACAACAGAGGACACACTCTGGACCTGGTCATCACCCATGGGCTGTCCACCAGCGTGTCCTCTGTTGTTGACTTGGCTGTCTCTGACCACTACTGTGTGTTTTTTAACATCACCGGTTTTATTCAGCGGAAGACCTCGGTGCGAACTGTGAGGAGGCGCTATCTAACCTCTGAAGTGGCTGCAAATTTTACC